CCTCAGGCAAAATCTCTGAGCCGTGGCTCTGGTATTTGTAACATGTATCATAGGTTATCACAGTCTACCTTCAAATAATATTACAGCTATCTCTCAGTATACTCAGGGGATTGAGTATACTGAGAGGACCTCTACTCTCCAGGTTACCCAAATCTATGCATACTCAAGTCCTGGAGTTGGCTCTGCAGAACCCACCTATGTGAAAAGTCAGCCCTCTCTATATGCAGGCTTCATATCCCAAAAATAAAGTATTTTCCATCTTAGTTTGGATGGAAAAATCCATGTCAAAAAACACACGTCAAACCTGTATTGTTCAAGGGTCAACTGTATGTAATTTCACAGATAATGGAAGAACCCTACAACTGTGCATTCCCCCTCCCATCTTTTTTCTGTGTTTGTACTTGCTAGGGTTCTCTAGAGGGACAGAACTAATAGGATAGATGCATATATAAAGGGGAATTTATTAAGGAGTATTGATTCACACAATCACAAGGTAAAGTCCCACAATAGGCCATCTGCAAGTTGAGGAGCAAGGAAACCAGTCTAAGTCCCAAAACCTCAAAAGTAGGGAAGCCAACAGTGCAGCCTTTAGTCTGTTGTTGAAGGTCCAAGAGTCCAAAAAATGAAGAACTTGGAGTCTGATGTTTGAGGGCAGGAAGCATCCAGCATTGGATAAAGATGTAGGCCGGAAGACTAAGCCAGTCTAGTCTTTCCAGGTTGCTCTGCCTACTTTTTTTTTTTCTCTTGAGACATAGTCTTGCTCTGTCGCCCAGGCTGGAGTGCAATGGCATGATATCGGCTCACTGCAACCTCTGTCTCCTGCCTCAGCCTCCCAAGTAGCTGGGAATACAGGTGCGCGCCACCACACCCAGCTAATTTTTTTTTTTTTTTTTTTTGTATTTTTACTAGAGACGGCGGGGGATGGGGGTTTCACCATGTTGGCCAGGCTGGTCTTGAACTCCTGACCTTGTGATACACCAGCCTCAGCCTTCTGAAGTGCTGGGATTATAGGTGTGAGCCACCGAGCCCTTTTTTTTTTCTTTTGAGACAGAGTTTTACTCTTGTTGCCCAGGCTGGAGGGCAATGGCACGATCTCCGCTCACTGCAACCTCCGCCTCCAAGGGTTCAGGTGATTCTCCTGCCTCAGCCTCCCGAGTAACTGGGATTACAGGCATGTGCCACCATGCCCAGCTAATTTTATATTTTTAGTAGAGACAGGGTTTCTCCATGTTTGTCAGGCTGATCTCGAACTCCCGACCTCAGGTGATCCACCCGGTCTCTCAAAGTGCTGGGATTACAGGCGTGAGCCACTACACCTGGCTTCCTCTGCTTACTTTTATCCTAGTCACGCTGGCAGCTGATTAGATGGTGCCCACACAGATTGAGGGTGGGTCTTTGTCTCCCAGTTTGCTGAATCAAATGTTAATCTCCTTTGGCAACACCCTCACAGACACACCCAGGAACAATACTTTGCATTCTTCAATCCAGTCACGTTTACAATATTAACCACCATTGTAGGTTTTATTTCTACATATGTCACAAGCCATGTAACACATTGTTCTTATTTTTGTTGTAGATAATTTCTTCTTTTTTCTTTTCTTTTTTTTTTTTTTTTTTTTTTTTTTTTTTTTTTTTTTTTTTTTTTGAGACGGAGTTTCGCTCTTGTTACCCAGGCTGGAGTGCAATGGCAGGATCTCGGCTCACCGCAACCTCCGCCTCCTGGGTTCAGGCAATTCTCCTGCCTCAGCCTCCTGAGTAGCTGGGATAACAGGCACGCACCACCATGCCCAGCTAATTTTTTGTATTTTTAGTAGAGATGAGGTTTCACCGTGTTGACCAGGATGGTCTGGATCTCCTGACCTCGTGATCCACCCGCCTCAGCCTCCCAAAGTGCTGGGATTACAGGCTTGAGCCACTGCACCCGGCTTAATTTTTTCATTTTAACAGCTTTATTGAGATATAATTCATATGCCTTATAATTCAACCATGTAAAGTGCACAATTCAATGGCTTTTAGAATATTTATGGAGGTGGGCAATCATCACCACTATCCAATTTTACATTTTCATCACCCCTAAAGAAAACTCGCTTCCTATTACCAATTATTTTTTATTCCTGCCCTTCTGCAAGCCCCATGCAACCACGAATCTACTTTCTCTATAGATTTGTTGATATGGCCATTTATTATAAATTGAGTAATAAAATATGTGATCTTTTGTGACTGCCTACTTTCACTTAGCAGCATAATGTTTTCAAGGTTCATCTATGCTATACCATGTATCACTACTTACTGCCAAATATATTCTATTGTATAATATACTATATTTATTTATTCACCAGTTCATGGACCTTTTGTTTTCTATTTTTTAGCGATCATGAACAATGCTGCTATGAACATTTGTGTATACATTTTACGTGACTATGTTTTCATTTCTCTTGTGTATATACCTAGGAGTGGAATTGCTGGGTCATATGACTACACTATGTTTAACATTTTAAAGAATTGGCAATTTGTTATCCTAAGCAAGTGCATTTCCACCAGCAATGTATGAAGGCTTGTTTTTCTCTCTCTCCTCACCAAAACTTATTTTCCATCTCTTTCATTTTAGCCATTCTACTCTGTGTGAAGTGGTTTTATTTTGTGGTTTTGGTTTACATTCCCTAATAACTAATAATTTTGAGCTTCTTTTCATATGCCTATTGGACATTTGTATATTTTCTTGGGAGAAATATTTATTCAAATCCTTTGCCCATTTAAATATTGGGTTCTCTTTTTCTTTCTTTCTTTCTTTCTTTTTTTTTTTTTTTTGAGACGGAGTTTTGCTCTTGTTACCCAGGCTGGAGTGCAATGGCGCGATCTCGGCTCACCGCAACCTCCGCCTCCTGGGTTCAGGCAATTCTCCTGCCTCAACCTCCTGAGTAGCTGGAATTACAGGCTTGCACCACCATGCCCAGCTAATTTTTTGTATTTTTAGTAGAGACGGGGTTTCACCATGTTGACCAGGATGGTCTCGATCTCTTGACCTCGTGATCCACCCGCCTCAACCTCCCAAAGTGCTGGGATTACAGGCGTGAGCCACCGCGCCCAGCCTTGGGTTCTCTTTTTCTAATGGTTGAGTTGTAAGAGTTCTTTATATATTCTGGAAATTAGCTCCTTATCAGATATATTATTTGCAGTTATTTTCTCCCATATACATAGTCATACAAAATGTATACACAAATATATCATTTTGTTGTCATATCTAAGTAAAATTGCCTGACTCAAGGTCATGAACATTTATGCCTATGTTTTCTTCTAAGAGTTGTATAGTTTTAGCTCTTTCATTTATATTTATGATTTGTGTTTTATGACTTTGGTGTAGGTTGTGACATAATGTTTTAAATTCATTCTTTGTCATGCGGATATCCAATTATTTCATCACAATTAGTTTAAAAACTATTCTTTTCCCTTTGAATTGTCTTAGCAGACTTGTTGAAAATCCACTGAGCATAAAAGTGAGCATTTACTTCTGGATTCTCAATTCTATTCCATTGATTTATTTCTCTGTCCTTATGGTAGAACCACCCTGTCTTGATTACTATTGCTTTATGGTAAGTTTTGAAGTTAGGAAGTGTAAGAACTCCATTTGTTGTTGTTTTTCAATATTGTTTTATCTATTTTGGGTCATTTTAATTTAGGATCACTTTGTCATTTTCTGCAAAGAAGCCAAGTGAGATTTTGATAGAGATTGCCTTAAGTCTGTAGATCAATTAGAGAATATTGCCATCTGAACAATACTAAGTCTTTCAATCAATGAACATTGAATTTATTTCCATTTATTTAGGTCATTTTTAATTCCTTTTGACAATATTTTGTACTTTTCCATTTACAAGTCTGGTATTTGTTTTGTTAAGTTTATTCCTAAGATTGTTTTCTTTTTGATACAATTGTAAATGGAATCATTTTTTTCAAGTTTATTTTGGATTGTTAATTTCTACTGTAAAGAAATGCAATTAAAGCCGGGCGCGGGAGCTCACGCCTGTAATCCTAGCACTTTGGGAGGCTGAGGTGGGTGGATTACCTGAGGTCAGGAGTTCAAGACCAGCCTGGCCATCATGGTGAAACCCCATCTTTAAAAAAAAAAGAAAAAAGAAAAAAAAATAATAAGAAGATATGCAATTGATTTTGCATATTGATATTGTATCTTGCTACATTGTACTTGTATTATTTCTCATAGTTTAAATAATTATTGACAATTTATAATTGTATGTATTTATAGGGCACAAAGTAATATAATCAACCTTCTTTCTGAAAATGATACCATATTAGGGTATCAGCAATGGCCTCTGAGACTAATAGCCAGAAGTATCAACCTGGCAGTGGACAGCTCACATGTTCAGTACCTCATCTGATCCACTGGGCAGTCCTGTGAGATAAGTATTACCCCCATTTCACAAATGGCAAGACTGACCCTTATTTGCAATGTATCCATTATAGGTTATATGTAGCCAGGTTGATACCTACCTCTATTAGTCTCAGAGGTAATATGAATTTTACTTATCATTTTATGTTCTGGCAACAGAAATTGTAAGTGTCTTTATTGCCCTCATAAGCTCACTGAACAGTTATATTGCTTATCATGTATGGTTTTCTGGTTTAGTTTTTAAAATTATTATTATGACAAAAGGACATATCCTTTAAGAAAAGGTGGAGATGAGTGAGAGCAAAGAAAAGAAAAAGAATCACATCCTATGGGGGAGCCATAGCATGGTAAAGGACCCAGGAGAAGGGGTAGCAGTGCCTACTCACCTAGTTACACCTAGAGAAGACATGAGGATTGGCACAACAGCAGCAGAATGCCATGAAGGTACCTATGCAGCAGGTGACTGAACTCACTTTTGGCTACCATTCAGGAATAACCATTGCCTACTTTTTAGTGTATATGCTTTCAGAGTTTTCTTTGTGAACAAATGCATTATGCAAACATTTACACTTTTATAAAAACGGGCTAATACTGTATATGCGGTTCTGCAAACTTTTTTTATTGTTTTTGTTTTGTTTTGTTTTGTTTTTTACAATGTACCTTGAACATCTTTTCCATGCATATGGGTGAAAATCCTCTACTAAAATATAGAGCGCTGTAGTTGGGTCAAAAGGCTGCTGGTAACAAGAGTGACACCTAAAGCAAAGTATCAGCTTAAGGTTAAAGCACAGGGCCTGGCAAATACCTACCAGGGAAAGCAGGGCCGGCAATATTCTCATCAGAGAAGTCAGAATGGAAGGTCAAAGGCATTAAACGTATGGGATATCATGTAAGCCCCTCTGGCCCCTACCTCCACCCCTCATTCCCCTGACACCCCGTTGGCCCCTTGGGGCGAACGGATCCTGTACATCTCTTTGCATCCAATGAAAACCACCCATTTTCTGTTTCTTCCTTAGCTCCTCCTGAGCCCTTGACACATCTCCACATTCTCTCATCATCTCCTCACTGCTCAGATGCCTTCCCTGTAAGTCCTCCTGAGAGTCCTTGGGAGAATCGTCCGTCCCCCTGTCCGTTTTTCTTTTTGCTTTCCGGGGCACATAATCTTCAGCCGGGCGCTTTTCGGCGGCCCGCGGCTGGCTCTCTGGCTTTGCCTGGGAGGCTGGCTTGCCCTCGCCTTGTGGCTTGCCCTCACCTTCGGACTTGCCCTGCTTTTCCTGGCTTCCCTCATCTTCCAGTTGTCCCTCAGCACCTGGCTGTCCCTCATCCTCTCGCTTTCCCTCGCATTCTGTCTTCCCCTCCACGTCCGGCTTTTCTTCCTCGTCTGACTTTCCTTCATCATCAGGCTCTACTTCATCTTCTGGCTTTCCCTCGTTTTCCAGGTTTCCTTCATTCTTATTGTAGGGTTTTTCCATGTCAAGATTTCTCCTTTTCCTGTCCTGGGGGATGGGAGTGGAGGCAAGAGGAGACAAAGAAGAGACATGGGAGACTGAGGGTGTGGGGGTGGAATGCAGGTCTGGACAGTAATTGCATCTCACCCGTGGTGAGGGTTCCACTAAGCTGGCTGGGCCTCCAAGAGGGCCTTCTGCCCACCACGTAGCCCGCCACTCCTCCCACACACGTGAGCCAGCCATTGCCTGGCAGGCCCTGCCACCTTCTCTGCACTGGTTCAGCCTGGTAAGGTGCGTGTTCATGTGGGTGGGGGGATGGGCAGGGGCCCCAACTCGGCCATAGCGGGGTCCTCCACACTCTCAACCCTTGTGGGCCCCTGTCCATGCAGTCCCCCGCTTTCACGGACCTGCGGGGATTCTGGACAGGTTGCTCCTCCTCTTCTGGCCTCGCAGAGCGCTGGGAACAACAGAGGCGCAGACCTGCGGACAGACAGGAGACAGGGGTAGGGGCTGCGCGCTCAGCGGGCTCACAGGGACTCAGCTCCCTCTCCTGAGTCCAGGCCCTGCTCACCCAATATTTTCCTCCCCTACCTCCCCTGCACCCCAGCCGCCATTTCTTTCCAGGCCTCGGGCACCAAACCCGCATGCTTTCCAAACTGCGTTTGTCTCTGTGTCCTCTTCCCCGGGAGGCAACCTGTCCCAGCACCACCCTGTTTTTGCGGAGGTCAGGTGTTTCCATGGGAGCAGATTATGAGAGAGAGTTATTTTCAGAATACCTACGTTTCACTGCGGGGTCGCTCCCTCTAACCCCCATTTCCAGCACTAAAATGGATGGAGGGCTCAGTGCAGGGGGTCGTCCAGAAGGCGGGCCAGGCTTCCCCGCCCCCGCCCCCGCCCGCTCAGCATCACTGTACTCACCCGTCTCCCCGATCCCTTCTCCACCTCCTCCCCACTCCTACTGACAGCCACCTCCGCCCCTTCCCCGGGTCCGCAAGTAGCGCCCACCTTCACACTGACCTGCCGGGACCCGGGACAGACCTGTGCCTCCTCCAGCTCGCTGAAGCCCGCTCGCTGCTCCCCCGCCGCCCGGGCAGCTCAGACAGCTGGTTCTGCGCGGGCGCCGGGACCGGACCGCTGGGCAGGCAGGCGGGCGGGCGCGGGGGCTGGTGCCCACGTAGGCGCCCGGCGGGTCACGTGAGCGCCGCGTCACCCGAGCTCATCCCCCCCCCCCCTTGGCTGACCCACCTCACTATCCATCCCCAAGGGACCGTGAGGCTGGGGACGGTCGGGATCGGGTGTGTTTGTGTAGCAAAGGGGGGTCACCGAGAAGAGGAAGAGGGAGTGGCGTTCTGACTCCAAGTGCTTTACCTGCGCATCTCACAGCATCCTCGCAGGCGATCTCATTCTGATGCCCATTATCGCCAGGTGTGACAGCTGATCAGAGAGGGTACCCGACTTTGTCAAGAGCGCTCAGCCCCAGAACTCCAGAGACCGCTGTCAAAACCATCTTTGCCTGACTCCAGAGGCTGGGGTGGTGGTGCCTGCCCGGAAGCTGAGCTCCCACCTTGAGTGAGTGGCAGTGTTCCTGGGGTTCTGTCCTGGGCCTCCTCTCTCCTCAGTCCTCAAATTCTCTCTCCCTGTTTGATCTCATTCATTTCCTGCAAACACCTATGACTCCCAGATGTGTATCTCTAGGCTATTCCGTCCCCAGAATCTCAGTCTATTTTTGCTTTCCCACCAGTAATATACGGGAGTGTTTTGTTTCCCAACACCCTTCCCAACATATGACACACTTTTAAATGTTCATTAATATGTTACTTGAGAAGTAATATCGCAATGGCATTTTATTTTGCCTTATCTCTAAGGACAATTTAAATATCTTTCTTTGTGAATTGTCATTTCATGTCTTTTCCACATTTTTCTAGTAGATTGTTAATCCTCATCTCAATTTTCAAGTTCTCGTAATACATTAACTCAATTAGGCCTTTATCTGTTACATATGTTGCAATTTTCTCTCCAGTTTGTCAGTTGCTTTTTAGCTTTGTTTATGGTGTTTTTCTGCCATGTATTTAAAAATGTAGTGAAATTTATTAAACTTTTATTGCCTCTAAATTTTGATTCACAGTTAAGAAATCTTTTCCTACATAAGGTCCAAGAAGCATTCACCTATGTTTTCTTCTAGTATTCATGTGGTTTTATTTGTTTACATTTAGAGTTTATATCTTTGTATGCCATAAAGTATTGACGGATCTTTTCTTTTCTTTTTCCAATTGGCTTCTCAGTTGTTCTGGCATCAAAAAGGCCATCTTTGCTTCAGGGATTTGAGATGCCACCTTTATTACATATCAAATTTTCATACGTACTTGGAAAACTTTCTGGGGTTTCCATTCTATTTCATTGATCTGTTTGCTATTCATATACCAGTTGAATTATAGAGGATATATATATATATATAATTTCATATATCTGGTAGAGCTAGGGCCCCTCAGTAGATTCTCTTTTTCCTATATATTCTTGTATGTTTAGTTTTCTGTGTGAACTTTGGTATAAACTTGATTCAGATCCGTTTTAACCAACGATTAGATATATCCATCTGAGTGTCCCTGAAGAACCTCAAATGCAATATGTCCCAAGTGATTTTACCATCCTTCCTTGGTCTTTTCCACACACAAAACTCCTCCCTCATTTCTCTTGTCTTAATAGATGGCTACAGAACACACACTGTTGCCCAAGCAAGAAATCTGGGAATCATCCCTGATTCCTTCTTCCTGCCACCAAGTAATCTTGACCTTCTCTTCTAAAAATCTTTGGATATTTCCACTTTTCTTCCATCTCCACTCTTGCTACCTTTTTTTAGGCAAATGACTCCCCATTCCTATGGTGGAAGATCCCTTTCTGGTTTTGCTACCTCAAGTCTTGCTCTCCTTTCATATATTCCAAAATATTATATATTATATTGCCCCACTGCTTTTTTCTGTTTCATTTTCATTACAGTCCTTGAAGTAGGTTGGTCACTAATTACCTCTTACACAGAAACTACTCCAAAAGCCAGGTTAAAAAGGGCCTTGGTCTTTAGCCTGATTATTTTCAGATCAACTTTTAGCAGTTATTGAAGATCTAAAGTAAATTCTGAATTTTGAAATAATTGAAAAGGAATGTGCCTGTTGGATATTTAGACAACTAGAATGCTAGATTCTTGGATGGGATGATTCAGTCTTGTGAAGCTATAAATTTTATCACTCCTGCCCCCGACCACACTGGCATTCGGAAGTGTGGCAGATTTTCTTTCAAAGGTCTCTTGAAAAAAATAAAATGGAAAAGGATAGGCAAGAAATTAATAGAAGTCATGATACAGGGGTTCTGATTGTTTAACATATGAGAGAGTTCATAATAATCAAAACAGTATGACATGGGTCCAATAATAGAGATTTAGTGAAGAAAAGACAAGAATGCTCTTCTACACACCTAGGTTTTAATTAGCTTTTAATATACAGATTAGGTAGCATTTCAACCTAGTACCAAAGCTGGCCTAGGCTTTGGTGAGTACAATACATTGATTTTTTGCTCTAACTAAATTCATATGAACACCACAACCCAGGTGTCTAAACCCAAGAGATTATTTCATGTTTATTATCATCCTCATCAATAGATATTGTTGAATTCCTTTATGTGCATGACATCACATGGTCACTATATAACATATACTATAGCAACCAGTTTAATGATTTACTGTGGTGATCAAGAGCTAAAATACCAGTTTTGCTACTTACTAGTTGTGTCAACCTAGAAAAGTTCCCAAAACTCTGTGAGCTTTAGTTCTCTCTTCTAGAAAATGGGAGTAACATTTCTTATATCTGAATTATTGTAAATTCTAAATAAAAATGGCTATATAAAGTGTTTAGCATGTAGGAGACGTTCAACAAATAGTTCCTTCAACCTCCCATAAAAGACGTGATTTTGAATAAAAATTTGCATAGCTATCAGAGGCATAATTTGGAAATGTAATAAGAGGAATTATATATACTGTATGAGCTTCAGCAATATCAGATCAATAGATTATGGGATAGGAGAAAAAAACACACTGCACTATCAGTTGCTCTTCCGCCCCATTATTTTAACTTCTAGATAAACATCTGGGAAGCATAGGTATATGAGACACAGAAACATGCGGCAGTGTAGATGCCTCTTCTGTCTGAACAGAAAACTGGAATCAGGAGTCAGGAGACCTCTCTTGAGTCCCCAGAGACAGAATCATCACAACTGTGTGTCCTTGGGTAAGTCACTCCCAGTGTGCTGACATCACCTCTGTAACACACCAAGATCTTCACATCTTGGGCACTCAATAAAAGGCAATCATAATTACTTCTTGTATATCTACTGGGGTATGTCAGGATGAGGGAGACAAAGGCCAACCACAAGGAAACAACACTTTCCTCTAGAGACGTTTGGGAACCTCACTATTACTGAGTGCCTACCATGTACTCCACATAGGGATAGCTGCTTTATGTAGGACAGTGGGATATCCCAAGTACCCTCTCAATAGCCTGTGAGTAAAGAGTCTTTGCCCCATTAGATGAATGAGAAACCCAAGGCTCAGAGAGGTTTAAGTAAACTGTTCAAGGTTGCACCAGCTGGTTACTGCCAAGCCTGAGAACCAACCTAGGTATTAAAATGAGGACTACTATCTTAATATGTCTCTATGTTATCTCCCATTTTCTCTACTTAACTTCCTTCCCTGTGATCACTGATGAGTCAATAGTTATTTCTCAGGGACCTACAGATGTCTAGCACTTTACTGTGTTCTTTAAGTGAAAAGGACTAGGTATCAGAGGAGGAAGATTTGTCACCTTGGTGAATGATATGCTTCTTGGGTGGGTAGAAAGCCCATTCACATGAGGCCACTGGAGAAAGAGCTAAAGGAATAGGTGGACTGTTGGGCCAATAGGGGTTCAGAGAAGGCAATGGCCAGGTTTGCTGGAAATAAACAGAGAAAGCTTCAGGGAGGAAAAGGACCTTGACTTGGGCCTCAGACAATGGGTGGAAACTCCAAGGAGGTACGGAGGGAAAACCCAGCTGTTTGCCTAGAGTTCCTGGCCTTACATTAATCATACTGGCCTATCTTTATTAAATGATCAGTTCATCCCAACTTGAAATCAAGGTTTCATCTGATTTCTCCCTTTCCCACCGACAGAAAGCCCTCCTTCCTGCTTCACTGTTATCTCCTGAATCTGCCACTACCTTAGAGCCTCATCATTTCTCATCAGAACTCTTAAAATAATCCCTTCTTTCGTTTTCTTGGTTCTAGCCCTGCCCCTTCCTTCAGATAAGCCTTGCACATTACCATCAAATTAAACTTTACTATTCCCTGTTTTTAACTGCCGTTCTCCTGCTTGAAGGCCCTGATGTAAACCCACCACCCACAGAGTAAATCCGGCACTCTTCATCCTGGCATTCAGCATCAATCAGAATTGAGCCTCAGGACACACATTCCCAACCTAGTCATGCAATTCTCTGCCCTCACACACTGTGCCCCAAGTATGCCTTATTCTTCTGTCTCATTGTCCTTATGCATCATTTTCTTCCTGCCAACTGCCCTCTTATTCCCTCTAGAGGTCCTGGTCCTGCTCATTCTTAGAGGCCCAACCCTCATCACTCAGCCTCTGAAGCCACCCTAGCTGGAAGTGATCTTTCCCTCTCCTGTTGCAGCTACACATAGGATCTCTACCCCTCATGTTGCCCTTAACAAAGGTTTTTGTACCTTATATCCTTGTACCTTTCCGTGTGTGTGTGTGTGTGTATGTGTTCATGCATGCACTGGGAGAGTTGTGGTAGCTCAAAGGGAGATGGTCAGATGCAGGAGATCAGATATAATCTTGTCCTGCTTCTGTGGTCCCTATGCTGACACATGGTGATTTGCTTAGAAAATCTCAGTCTCAGAAGAAGCTGTTTTCCAATTGGCTCACAAGCTGAATTGGCTTTCTGTATGCACAAAGCTTGGAGTAGAGGTTTTATTAACTCCTCTTCTATTTAATGGGCTTTTGATATTAAAAGAAATTAATCATATTCTGAAAGAAGAGTCATCCCTGAGCCCTCAAGTCTAGATCCCTTCTCTGTTCTTTTAGCACCATTATTTCCCCTTTGTTAACACTCATTAGGTTGTGTAATTGGCTCTAAGACCCCCAAGGAGGAAGACTGTGCCATATTCATCTTTACATCCTACAAAAAGTCAGATTTCTGAAAGGCTACAAACTTAATACAATTGTGAGGAATTACTGGGTTATACTA